TGGTTGGCACGATATAAATCCTGTATAATAATAATCATGGATGCCATAGCTCATGGATATCACAGATCCAAGATGTCAGGGGCTACGTAACATTAGAATTTTGACCAGCACAAACCACCACAATGACAGCCGATTTCCCAATTATCTAGGTAATTCTAAAGAAACTGTTTATATATAACGTTTTACCTACATTATCATTTTAATATACTTTAGTTACAAAAGAAAGTGCAAGTATGCAGATGATTTTTTTCTACTTTGAATACAAAACCCTCCAATCCAAGCTGATCATATTATTTCACCATCTGCATACAGTCCTCCATCACTAAAATCCCATCAGTACTGGAAATTACACGGACTTGATCCCACGACTGCCCAGACTCAGCCAGACAAAGCATGGCACATAAGTGTTTGTCCTGCTGACAGCTGCCTGCTATCTGGGGGCTTCTTCAAACAACACGACAGCCTGTAGATCCCCCCAACCCTCCCCCAGTGCTCAGCAGCGGAAACTACGAGGGGCGGTGTCAGAGCCGAGGGAGACCGCCCTCTACACTCACATGGAGCAAGCTAGGCGGAGCTTCTCTGCACTCTCCAAGTGATGGAGGCTGGGTCCCTCTGCATTCACTCAGGAGAGGAGGCGGGGCTTGTCTGCGGTAACCCAGGAGAGGGGCGGGGTTTGTCTACTCTCCGCTAGCTCTCACAAAGTTTGGAAACGAAAGTTTAGAAGCGGGAACCCAAAATATCGGAGACGGAAAAAAAAAAAAGAAGGTTACTAGAAAGGAAACGCGATCTGCATATCTCCTCCCTGTCGCCTGTGTGCACTCTGGGTGTAGGTTTAGCACGCCTGAAGATGAGAAGTGGCTGGTTTGTTTTCTTTATCCCCGAGGGCTGACTTTTCTCATTGTCTGTGCTTTGTGCTGGGACTGGGACATGTCTAGGAGGAAAAGTAGACTGTGTGCACAAGTTGGCGAGTGTCTGTGCTAGGCTGGGGGAGGGTGATGGCGGCGGATGGAGGAGATCCCAAGTGCCAGGTGGCAAGAGATGAAGAGGGCAGAGTGAGGAGGAAGAAGAAACGGAGGAAAAGTAAGAAGGAAAACAAGGTGAGATCGGTCCGCTCCAACCTGCTCTATGAGAGCTCCGGCAAGGCGGCCGCCGACAACCCCAACCGGCAGTACGCCGTCAACTCCATCAAGACCACCAAGTACACGGCGCTCTCCTTTCTGCCCAAGAACCTGTTCGAGCAGTTCCATCGTCTGGCCAATGTCTACTTCGTGTTCATCGCCCTGCTCAACTTCGTGCCCGCCGTCAATGCCTTCAAGCCCGAGCTGGCGCTGGCCCCTGTGCTCTTCATCCTGGCTGTCACCGCCATCAAAGATCTCTGGGAGGATTATCGCCGCTACCGATCGGACAAGGAGATCAACCACATGGACTGTCTGGTGTACAGCAGGTAAGAGAAGGAGTAAATGGGGGGATTTTAGGTACGGGGTGGTGTAAATGGGCGATCGCTGGTAAGGGATGGGATACATGGGGCGATCGCTGGTAAGGGATGGGATACATGGGGCGATCGCTGGTAAGGGATGGGATACATGGGGCAATTTCTGCTGAAGCATGCAATAAATGGGTCGATTGCAGGTAACAGACGGGGTAAATGAGGGAGCTTGCAGGTACCGAATGGGGTAAACGAGGGCGCTTGCAGGTAACGAATGGGGTAAACGAGGCGCTTGCAGGTAACGAATGGGGTAAACGAGGGCGCTTGCAGGTAACAAATGGGGTCAACTATGGTGCTTGCAGGTAACGAATGGGGTAAATGGGAGAGATCGCAGGTGGTGGATGGAGTAAGCGATGGCGCTTGCAGGTAACGAATGGGGTAAGCGATGGCGCTTGCAGGTAACGAATGGGGTAAGCGATGGCGCTTGAAAGTAACGGATGGGGTAAGCGATGGCGCTTGCAAGTAACGGATGGGGTAAACAAGGGCGCTTGCAAGTAACGGATGGGGTAAACAAGGGCGCTTGCGGGTAACAAATGGGGTAAACGAGGGCGCTTGCAGGTAACGGATGGGGTAAATGAAGGCGCTTGCAAGTAACGGATGGGGTAAATGAAGGCGCTTGCAAGTAACGGATGGGGTAAATGAGGCCAATTGCAAGTAACGAATGGGGTAAATGTGGGCAATCGCGTTCACCAGTGATCAGTGGGAATGCAATCGTGTGTTTACATGGGATATGTAAACTTCACTGTGTAATCCAAGTTTGTATGAGATCCCATGGATCTCAGCTGACTTTGAATACACAGTGTGGTGAGGAGCTCAGCTGTGCTAGTGTTTCCCCGAGGGGGTTAATGAGAAGCCCACCCCGGCCCGCCTCCCATGTGAAGCCAGAGACAAGAGAGTGTTTGAGTAGAAGCTGCCACGTTTTGTGCCTCCATTCATAGGAAAGGGGGAGGGATGGTGTACAGCCTTCTCAAAAAAAAAGTGTCCTAGTGGCAGTAGCCAGTGTTTGTTTTACTGATGGTGAGGGTCATTCATTCCTATGGACCCAGCATCCCAGCACGTGTCAGTCATTGTGTGCTGTCACTCCCATCCTGCACTGAACAATCACATACCCTGCAGGCTCAGACAGCAGTCATACAGTGCATTCCTTCACTCGCTCTCTACCTTTCTGCATTGAATGGTCAATGGCTGTCACTTGTGCCTTTATGTTCCTTGTCCTCTCCTATTTCAATGTGAAAATCTGGTTGTACTCCCAGTACTTCTGTCATGGGAGCAGCCATGCTTAGAAAAGAAAGAGGAGATTGCCAGCTCTTATAAACTTTTGTTTCACACTTGTTGGATTCATTTAAAACTTGGCAGATGTAGACTTATTACCATTGTTTCAGACATCGGCTCTTAAGATGTCAGCGCGATTATCTCTGATGCCTACAATCGGTTATGTGAGAAATAGCCATTTAATAAAAATGCAGGTCGAAACTTTCTGATGGGTTCCAATGGCAGAGGTTGTTTGATCAAGATGTACAAAAACCACAGGTCACTTGGGTCTCAGTGCATTGGTTTATAAGCTGGTCAGCTTAATTTAGAACCAGGTAACTTAGAAGAGTGAGATAACCATGCTCAGATAAGTGCTTCAAACTAGGGATGTGCCAATACCACTTTTTCAAGACCAAGTACTTCCCCTCATGTACTTGCCGATACCAATTACCGATACTTTTTCTTAAAGGGAAAGGTGACTTTAAATGATCCATAGTACAACTACATGTTATGTACTATGGATCATGATTTAACCTATTCATGTTAGCAGGGGAGAATTGTAAATCTTTTGCTGTGGTGGAAGTGTGTGCTGTATATATTTACTATATATACAGTGCACACGTCAAGTACACTATAGCAATAGATTTACAGCCAGCCCTGTCCCAGCTTTCCTCACTCAGTTTCACTGCACTGTTGCCCTTGAAGGGTGATGCGAGGAATCTGACACTGCACTGTTGCCCTTCTGTTGTCTTGTACCAGTCTTGCCACTCTCCGTTCTGCCCTAACATTGACTAGTCGCTGACGGACACAATTCGCACGTTCAGACCCAGATTTTCGGCTGACAATCCAGTCTTTAAACATTTTAACAATGAGCCCCTCTTGAACATTTAACGAACTCTGCTGTTTTGCTGATACTCGCTCCATGGCTCCGGGTGCCAACAATCATCCCCCGTTCAAAAGCTGTTAAATCGCGTTGTTTACCCATATCTTCAGAAAAAAATCACCTACTGTCGTGGTAAACAACCTGCTTCCCTATTTATAATGGTCTTCCCCTCTAGCAACTTCAGCGTGAAATTATAGCTAATTATAGCTAATTTGCCTACAAACGTCAGGTGGTCATAATAAACTGGCCACTCAGTGTATATGAAGTACATGTACAGTGCACATTACAAATACAATGCACCTCCCATTTCAGCACAGGCCCTCACTTACTGTTGCCTGTTCAATGGAGGTGCCGAATTCTTTTCCTCACGTGAGGATGTTTTCAGCGATGAGCGGAGGAGCGTCATGTCACTGCTGTGGGCGGCGCTCCAGGTGGGGTCCTCTGGGCAGTTGCTGGCCACCTACATTAGGACCCCACCTGGAGCGCAGCCCACAGCAGTGACACGACGCTCAGCGCCGCCAACATCCTCGCATGTGAGGAAAAGCATTCGGCACCTCGTGAGGCACCACAGAAGGTACAGAAAATGAAAACTAAAAAAACAGTGCAAGCATCAGCGCTTATTCATCGGGGCATTTTGACAAGTAGTTGTCAAAATGCTCTGTATCCGTCCCGATACCGATGCTAGCTTTGGTATCGGGACATCCCTACTTCAAACCTTTCTGAAATTGTTGGCATAATATAAAAATAGTATATAGTGCAAAGTTTGCCAAACCTTGATCAGACAGGAGCCAATTAACCTACCGGCATGTCTTTGGAGTGTAGGAGGAAACCCACGCAAGCACAGGGAGAACATGCAAACTTAGTGCAGAGGATTTGGGATCCTCGGCTTTGTCTGGATCCTGTGAAAAGGCCCAATCATATCACCAGCATCTACAGGAAGCTGCTGGAAGCTAGGATGTAAGGATATCATTTTTTATTTCGAGGTGCGCATGGTTAGCTGTCTTTACATTTCCATGCAAGGTGCACTTTAAGGGTTCGTTCACACCATGTCCCTTGAGCTACGTTTATCTGCACACCACTGCACGTGAACAGAGGACATAGAAAACAATTGTTTTCACACCATACATGTGCAGTGGTGTGCAGGCAAACACAGCTCAACATACATGGTATAAAAGCCCTAATAAAGAAAGATTCAAAGAGTTGGAGTTTTGGAATAGCTGGTTGTTATAACAATATTTTGTCTTTCTAAATTGTAGTGATCTGCTGATGTGCAAGTGAATTGATTTTCTAATAGAGGCACCCAGAGCAGTCCCTTGTTGTGCCCACCTTGCTTAAAGTATTAGTTCACCTTTAGGCCCCATTCACACTAGATCCGTTGGCATCTGTTTTTCAAAGAATGTCAATGGAAGGGAACCCAGAAATGTATGGGTGTGAAGGGGATCAGTTCACACTGCTGCGTTGCGGATGCCAGGAGAGTATTACATTGCAAGAAAACGGATCTCTGTTGACTTCCGTTTTAAAGTCCGATTTTGGTGTGATTGGACCCTTAATATTTTTTTTTTTGCCTGAGATCTTTTAACATTGTAGCTTACACGGTGGGACAATAGTTACACACGATCGATAGAATGCTCCCTCTCTACTGGCTGACCTATATGAGTCGCAACTGTATACGCAACTTTGATCGGATCTGGGGGGACTGGGTGGAGGTTAGTGGACTTACCCTGGAGGGTCCTGGCGGAGAGAGCCTGCTCCCGCCTGAACCCTCTGCTCATTATAGACTGTAAGCTGTAATGTTAGTGGATTTAAAAAAGGGAAGAAAAAAAATGAATTAAACTAAGCCTTCGACCCTGTCACAGAAAGAAATTAGGTGTGCTGGTCTTATTTCAGGGTCCAGTTGTAAAAAATGGCCTCTGATTCCCCCTAAGAATCTGAACAGGCAATAAGAGCCGGGAGCCACTGCTCTGTTTATATCCTTCTCTATGGGATTTATTTCACTTTGACCTATGTATTGGCTGCTGTCTCTCGCAGGGGGTAATGGTGTCATTTCCTATTGCATCCAACATGTAGTTGATCTGCGTCTCTGATAGTGAGATTCACTCTATTTGTTCCAGTGACCACTAAGTAAGGGAAAGTGTAAAACTTTGGGTTGCCACAAGAACAGGAATAGTGGGGAAATCTTCCAATTGGGGATACTGGTTCTAGTGGCAAGTGTCTCAAAGGGGATTTACTTTCACTTCCTGTTGTGTCTACAGGTCAAGAAGCCTTGGCTTTAAGAGCCTGTTCATGCCTGCTGGTGTGCACGTTTTTTTTTGTTAACTTTATTGAAACGTCACAATTTCAGTTCCGTCAACCATAGAGCAGTGATGCGGTGCATTGCTTCACACTGTTGCGCTGAAAAAAGTACTGCATTCAATACTTTTTTTTGTTCAGAACACACCTCCTGCAGCGCATTGGTGTGATTTCTGCTGATTGAAAACAAGGCAGATTGCCTTGTCTTTGTGTTAGAACTGCGCTGGGCAAGGTAGACCAATGCAGCCCAGCAAGCCTGCTATGAACAGACCCTCAGTGCCCATTCACACTAGCCCATTAACTAGTCAGCGGACTAATTTTGTTGTGACAGCTTTGGCAATGTGTGTTGTACTGCACACTGCCAGAGCTGTCACAGTTTACATTTTTTTTCCTTTTTGGTAGTGTACAATATGCACACTCCATTCAGGCCTCCACACAGCAGTGCACTGCTGTGTGTTGACCTGTGGTGGCAAGCCCCCAATGTGATAGCCAATTTGCAGTGACAGGTCCACTTTATGGAGACAGGGGTCTCCAA